CCTCAGAGGAGGCGGGCCTTGGGCGGGGCTGAGCAGGCCACGTCAAAGGAGGCGGGCCTCAGGAGGGGCCAGGAGGCCGCCTCAGAGGAGGCGGGCCTTGGGCAGGACTGAGCAGGTTACGTCAGAGGAGGCGGGCCCTGGGCGGGGCTGGGAGGCTGGCTCTATGGCATCAGCACTTGGGAGGTTGGGCCTGTGGAAGCATGTTCTGGAAAAGCGCGTGACCAGCGAGGCGCGGGCAAGGCGCTAGGCCTTGACTCTGCAGAGGCAGGCTAGGAGGGGAGGGGCAGGTCTGAGACTGGCTGCTACAGGGCTGCAGAGTGTCTGCGCGCCTCCCCCCGCCCCCCCACCTCCCCAGACCACCCCCACCAGCTCCCAAGCTCCCGATTTCCGTCCATGGTAGCAAGAGCAAGCCACCCCCTCCCCTCGGCCTCAAACCCACGCAGCAAACCAGTTTGCACAAACTGTTGCTGTAGGCCTATCTGCGCCACCAAGCCAACTGCATCGTCACCTCGATCAATCACCATGACAAGGCAGCCCATTCGGCCATTTTCAAAATCCAAAACCCCTTCACTCTACTGCCAGAGCAGGAATGGTGTGGGCAGAATTTTAAACACTAATTTTTGCAGCCCAGGACTCCATTTTGTCTACCCCACCATCACGCAACTAGCTGTCCTACAGAAAAACAGAATTTTTTTTGGGGGGGGGAGCTTTTTCAAAGGGCGAACCGCGTTTTGTACCCCGCTCCAAGGAGAGAGTTGTACTTTCTCCCTCGTCTTTCCAAAACCACTTTTTCTGGGGCTCAGGAGAGCGTTATGGCTCTGCAGCAGGTTGTGACGCATTTGTAAATTCATTTTTCTTGTGCGTTCGTATTTGGTTACCCTCCTAGAGCTCAGAATTCAGTGCGTGAAGCACGAATCGGTTGCGGATCGTCGCGGATCGCCGCTGTTCGGGCAGATTTGTTGCGCGTGAAGCGCATGTTTGTGCACAGACGCGCAAAAAGCGCCCATTAGTACATCGCAGCGCATGAAGCGCCCATTAGTACAAACTGAAGCGCATTAAGCGCCCATTAGTACATTGCAGCGCATGAAGCGCCCATTAGTACAGTGAAGCGCATTAAGCGCCTATTAGTATATCAAAGCGCGTGAAGCGCCCATCAAGTCTTAGCGCATGAAGCGCCCATTAGTATTTCGTAGCGCATGAAGCGCCTATTAGTTCATCGCAGTAGCGCATGAAGCGCCCGTCTGCAGCGCAAGTGAAGCGCTTATCCGTTTGTAGCGCATTGAAGCGCTGAAGAGTTGCAGAGCCGTCACTTTGCAGCGCATTTCAGGAGCAAATTGCAATTCGGTCTGTAGCTCATGTGCGTCTGCAGCTCATCACTGTCCGCAGCTCATGCGTCTACTGACCAATTCTGGATGCGGGTCGTGGAAACCGAAGCCGTGAAGGCTCGCTTTCCACACTCGCGTCTTCTGGTCCGGCCACTGAAGGCGTGGAAAAAAAAAAGATTTGCGAGGAGATATTCCGGGGCGCTACTTCATCTCCCGCAGCTCCCGAAAAAACGGGGATTGCGTGTGATCGTTAAAAATAATCATCACCGCATACTCACCACTCGAGGATTCCTCTGCGAAGCCGGGAAGGATGACGGGGTCCCACACCTGGCCCGCGATGGTCCACTGGTGACCGCGGTCCGGAGAAGCTCCGGACCGCAGTCGCGCAGCGGACCAAGGCGAGGCTCGGTGGACCGTCTCTGCTGGGCTGCTTTCCTCAGGTCGCCGTCAGGATTCTTCTGGGTTCTTCGACACACACCAACCGAAGTTGGAAACGCGTGTGCCGAGAGCTCGGACTGCCTGCCTTATATAGTGTGTTCCAAGGAGGGGGCGCCAAATCCCAGCGTGCTTCGCGGGCTTGCGGGGGCGGAGAGGGGGGGCTGCGTGGGCGGGCGCCGGGGGGGAGGGGGGGTGCGGCGTGCGTTGCGTTGGCCCGCCGCTAGGGGGAGCATGGGCCCGGATGGGGGGTGCACGGTACCGATGCTGAACCGGCCAAGCTGGGAGGAAAGAAGAAAGGGAGGGGAGGGGAGAAGCCGGCCTAGGCAGGCCAAGAATGCTATTATCGTGGTGGTGGGAGCTGGGAGACCCCTGTGCTTGGACGGGAAAGGGTCGGGGGACACGCAAGATGAGCCCCGCGACCACTGGCACATTCTTACTGACAGGTTAGTGGCCTGCGCGCGACATGGAGGTTTGGGGGACCACAGGCCGTCGCCTCCCCATCCCCCACTCGGGTTCGGGGGGGTACCAGGGCGCGTCCAAAGGGTGCTAGCCCCTCTCTACTCCTAATGCCCCACAGCACCCCACTCTTTGGGCATGCTGAAACCCACTTCCCGGGCCCAGTGGGTCCCTCCCCAGGCTTGACCCCTGGCCTTTTCTTTCTTTCTGCACCCCCACGGCCCCTCCCTGTCCAGCAGGGCAGGAATCCGTCTCCAGTTTCTACTGTGAGCACCCCTCCTCCTCCCCACCTCCACCCCCACCCTGGTGGTGGACATCTTCTGATCCCTGAAGCAAAGACCTGGGGTTCTTGCCCATCGGGGTGGGGGTCTTTACCCCACAATTGAGATTCCTTGGCCTACTGCAAGCCAAAGGACATGGCTGCCCAGCTGCTTTCTTCTCACACCACATCTTTTCTTCCTTTCGGGAAAAGATGCACGTCTTTTCTCCCTTTCGGGAATCTGATTGAGAGAGAGAGACCACCGAAATATGACATTTAAAAGACTGAAATCCCCCCAATCTTTTTAAAACATTATTTCCTGGTGGCGCAAACCTGTTTTTTCTTAGGTCTTACCAAACAGGGAAGAAGAATCATAAAATGCTGGGAGCCAAAGGTGTCCAGGTCAGGGTCAACCATGGCTGGGGGCCAGAGATGCTGCAAACAGCACCCATTGCCCTACTGAATACATTCTTGAGGGGAAAGGCAAGAACAATTGAAAACAGCTGTGGGTGCTTTGGAGGGCTCAGCTACGGACTGTTGGTGGTGATTACAAGGTTTACATAGAGACCTCGGCTTTCTCCCCGCGCCGTTATGTTTTTCTAAATCTTGGGGGGTGAATGAATGTTTTTTGAGCGCAGTAACTGCACGCTTAAACCTTTGAAACAGGTTGCTGAAACTCAACTCCAAACCTTTGCTTGACTTGGTACATATAAACTTGTAATTTTTGTTTGGAACGTTTTGGAAACTTGCAAAGGGTCAAATCACTCAAATACTGAAGAGAAAGGAGGCGAAATAAAACAACGTGGATTACCACCTAAGCTGCCCAAAATGTTAGGTGCTGAGAAAATTGACAATCTGTTGCTAAATCTTTGTCCAAAAAGTTAAAGTTAAAAATCAAATTGGCTACAACTGAGCTGGATTTATTCACCACAGATGAAAGATATTTGTCTTTCCAGACTAAAACTCGGTGCATTTCAGGAAGATTCCTACAGCTTTTTCCCTTAAAAAAAAAAGCGAGACTTTGATTCATTGTGCACCACAAGGTGGAAGGGACCTTGCGCTATACAAAAAGCATTCAGCTTTTTAGCATTAAGCAAAAACTCATTGATTTACTGGGAACCAACTTATTAGAAATTAAGTGTTGACCCCCAGAAACAGAAATGAGGAAGTGTAGATTTCCAGCAGGAAAAGGCATTTATCTAGGAAGCTGGATGAACATAATCATGTTTTTTGAATTTAAAAATGTTTATCCTCTTCTGTGAGACAGACTAATTCCAGGATTTTTAAAAGAATGTTTATTTAACAGTCGCTGTTCTGGCGGCAGCGGGACTGTCTTGTGCTTTGCAGTTGTTTCTCATACGAAGTTAATTCACCTAGCTGCTCATTGATAGCTTTGCTTTTTCCTAAGTGAGATTTATAGCAAGCATGGATTAAAAATATGAGGAAATTCAAGTTTAAAAAATCACCCGAGTCTTTCAAGGTTTAAAGTAATTTGATTTTTCATTTCAAAATTTGAACCAGGATTTTTTTTGTCTTAATAAGTAAAAAAGGCTTTGTTTGTATTTTTGTAATAATACTTATTCTATTCATTGTCCAAATTCCAGAAAGAGCCTTAGTAAAGGTGATCAGGATCACCTGTGACACCCTCGCCTTGCTGTGGGGAGGCAAACTACCTCTATGCTTACAGAGATTTCTAAAGAAGACATTTTTTTTCATAGGGTTGCATATATTTTTTTCTCAAAATTAAACAGTGGATCAAATTAATTTTCTCTTTGTTTTCTTCCCAAGTAAGTAGATTTTGAGCATCAAATAACATTAATTTTACATTTTTCTTTAAAAGAAAATATTAAATTAATATTTTCTGGTTGATGTACATGAACAGCCCTAACACCAGCGATTTCAAACCCACGAGCTGAGCAGACTCCCCGGCCTTAGTATTCTCACTGTAGCTGTAATCCTGATCAATATCCTTGAGGTTTTTAATGTCAAAAAGAATTTATGAAAAGAATTTCACTTTGCTTCAAATTATAATTTTCCCATGGAAAAAGCAATGCCAGATATTTAGGTAAAATTTTCTTGCTATCTAAAGGAGCAAAAACAATGTTTAACTGAACAAACAAAACTAATAGACACTTTAGATTTTTGTTGTTGTTGTTGTTGTTACTGAAACATACTTTAAATCCCTGTGTGTCCTAATTCTGATAGACAAGACTCTCAAATTCTCTTGGTCTTTACTATGCAGGTGAATTTCAGATTTCCTAAGCGATTTTCCCTGTGTGGATTATTTTGTGCCTGGTTTTCACAAGGGTCAGCGTGGAACGTGCGCACTGTTCCCATGCATGCTTTACTTCACGAGGTGTCCTTTGTATCTGAACATTTTGTCCATTTTTGTTAGAGTTTTCTCTGGGGCTATCAGTTTCTTGCTTTACTACCATGTTTAGTTTTTGGCGGTATAGGTAGGGAAAGTACTTTAGCACCAAGTAGGATTTTGATATCACACATAATATTTCTTCTGTTTGTAAATTTTGCCTATTTTATGGCCATTTTCCATATATCTGTGAAGCTGTTTATTTGTCTATTATATTTAGGGTAAATTCTAGAGGAGTAGGGAATTTCTATTCTAAAGCATAGGTAGAATTTTCACATGTCAAGTAGTAGACCTCCTATTTGGACATTTTATTCTTTTTAATGAGAATTTGTTATGCTGATTTGCTACCTGTAGTTGGCTTAGCTTCTAGGATAACAGGAGAAAATTGTTTTTAAATAACTTAAAATTTTCACTTGTCAGAAAGTAACTAGGGTTTGAATTGCTCATTTTATCCATTGTTGTAACAGCTTACCATAAATTTAGCAGCTATTGGTTTGCCCGTATACGTAACACATCTTTTAGTCCGGGGAGTAAATTATATTTCTAAGCCAATGGAATCTCCACTTGTCTCCGAGACTTTGCAAAAAGGAATGAACAGCACCACAAAGACGGACTAGGTATAAGCTGAGAGAGAAAGACAGCGTGTGCCCAGCTTTCAGCACTAGTTTGCACTGATGAAACTCATCCCTAAAGAAAAGATGGTGATGGTGAAGAAATCCTGGCTTGTTGAAAATGCTTCAAGTCAAATAGTTAGATTGTTTGTGGATCTAAGTACAGTATTTACACATGCTGTTTTTCAGATTGTTTGTGGATCTAAGGACAGTATTTACACGTGCCGTTTTTCAGAGTGTTTGTGGATCTAAGTACAGTATTTACACATGCCGTTTTTCTCTACAAGTAGTCCACAATTGTTTCTTTTCTTTTTCCCTAATTGCCTATAGGCTCATACCCTTCCCGGTCCTTTTTCTTTAAACTTACCCTTCCACAGTCTCTATTCTAAAACCCTAAATATATTTTCTGTTTATTTATCTTATTTCCTAGTCTCAGCGTGGAACAGGACCATAGGTAATCAGATGAGACAGGTTTGTCTGTTCGGGTTCTTGGGCTGGAAGGAATCTTTACACTTTGCTCTGTTTTAGTCTCTATACGGTTTTTCCAATTTCTTAACCTCTCTAGCAGAGGCAGACAGGCAGACAGAGAGAGATGAATGGACACACACAGACACGCACACATACGCTTTCACGTGCTCATACACACATGTACGCACATCATCCAGACTTTTTTTCTAAATTTCAGGATCCCAGGTTTCTAGTCTGTTCTTTCCCTTATTATCAGGTTATTACGTCTAAATAACAATGTAGTGTTGAGAAAAGAGGGAAAGAAGAGAGGGGGAGAAAGGAAGAAAGCAAGGCTGATATTTCTAGGGATCAACAAGTCGTATCAGAGACTATTTTTTTGAGTAGAGTTTTCCGGTTGGAAAGAGATTCTCAATGGTCTAAAATCATTTCACATGGACTGCTTCCAAGCCAAATTCTCTGTACATGATTTTCATTGTGAATTATTTTAAAGAACTTGTAACTGTAGTAAAGACAGCAAGGAATTAAACAATAGCAACAGTAATCCCTAAACAACCTCTGCAGCCTGCCATAAACATTTTCATTAGTATTCTTTCTTTCCTGGGTTTTGCTTGGTGTGTTGTATGTTTTCATAAACTAGTACGTTTAAGCTGTGTGGATCTTTTACACTTTATTTTGAAAGATAAGAGAGCCTTGTTTTTAGGGAAGCAGTTTGCAGGCTGATGTGAGAAATGGTGTTCAGACTAATTAGCAGGATCGGTGTGTGAGCCAGAGACTAAATGGGACGAGCGCTGGCCAGATGTCTACAGGTTACTTACTGGTTCTGAAGGAGCGGGAACCGACTAGAGTCACAAACCCTGGATCTTCCCTTATTTCACATAGGCACAGTGATTTTGAC